GGGTTGGGTTTTTGAGACAGGGTCTTGTTTTATAGCCCAGGCTAGTTACGAGAACTCATTCTGTAGCCAAGACTCATGGCAATCCTCTGGCCTTGACACCTAGTATGCTAGGATGGCAGGCCTGTGGGCCACATGCATCTTCACTCTATAAATGTGGGCAGGACCCAGAGCTAGCCTTGAGAATAGGCTCCAATATCCCTGAGTTGGAGCCTGAGCACATGCTACACACACACACACACACACACACACACACACACACCTTTGTGCTCATCCTTCCCAGTCCATCCAGAGCTCAGATAGCCCATCCCTTCCCATACATGGGATCTCTCTCCAGTAACTCATTTCCCACAATGCAATGTAAAACCAATGGAGTTGGTTTTACAATATGAACTGACCACATTGTGCATCAGCCTAAAACTCCCCAGGGGCTCTTAAGAGGCTTAAATTCCAAGATTGAGTTCCTGCCTTGCAATAGACCCCAGCACATTCTAGTACCCCTTCTGCAATGCCAAATAGCAGCCACTTCTCTTAGCCATCCACTTCTCTGCTCCCTAAGACAGGCTCAGTCACCCATCAGGAGGAGGTATCTTGTACTACTCAGCTCCCCCAAAACAAGTCACTGGCCACTCAGGATGTATGAATAATTCAATAAAGAATCAAACAAGTAGGAGATCAGTTGAGCCAAATCTTAGGGGATTCCCAGAAGCCACCTCTGCCCCCGCCAGTGAGTCTGGTCCAGGACTCAAACCTCTGCCACTCTTTGTTGTTGCTAGGGATCAAACCCAGGACCTGGCACATGCTAGGCAAGTACTCTATCACTGAGCTATATCCTCGGCCCTTTAAAAAAAAATGAAAAATGTGAGATAGGGTATTCCCAAATCAATCAAGCTAGCCTTTAACTTACTCTGTGACCCAAGCAGACCTTGAACTTACAACCTTCCTGCCTCAGCCTCCTTAGCAGTTTGACTATAGGCCTGTACCATCAGACCCATTGAATGCCATGCTCAAACAAACTCTTTATTCGCTCTTATATGCTGTCCCAAACCTTTATCTGGCCACATTGATGTGTGCTGCTCTACAAATGACATGTGAAGTCTATGTATGAGAAAGCAGCCAGTCGCAAAGGGCCACATGTTATATAATTCCATTTCTTTTTCTTTACTTTTTTTTTGTGGTGTGTGTGTGTGTTTCAAGCCAGGATTTCTCTATGTGTAGCCTTGGCTGTCCTCCTGGAACTTGCTCTGTAGACCAGACTGGCCTTGAACTCAGATCTGGCTGTCTCTGCCTCCTGAGTGCTAGGATTAAAGGCATGGGCTGCCACCACCCAGCTATATATAATTCTATCCCTAAAGTGCCTAGAATAAGCAACTCTGGAGATAGGAAAATTGGTGTCATGCAGGGCTGGGAAGGATCAAGGACACAAATACCATATAAGCACAAAGTTTCTTTTGAAGACAAGGGAAGTGTTCTAAAATCAACTAGTGTTAAGATGTAACTGTGGAATGACCATGTAGCCTCAAAGAGGATGGAATCCTGACATTTCCAACAGTTTGGATGGAAGCACAAGCTAGGCACAGAAATTCCACATGTTCCCACTCAATCTAACAGTTGGTCTAAAGCTAGAAATGATGGCTCCTGCCTGAGAGTCTCAGCACTAGGGAGGCTGATGCAGAAGGACGTCCACACCTTTAAGACCTAAGCCACAGGGTCTCAAGACAAACAGGGCAGGGGTATGTGTGTATAATCCCAGCCAGGGAAACCTTGGTGTTGGGTGTGTTATTCGTTAGGTGCCATCTGCTCTCTCTCTCTCTCTCTCTTTCTCTCTCTCTCTCTGTGTGTGTGTGTGTGTGTGTGTGTGTGTGCGCGCGCACGCGTGCTGGGGATTGAACACAAGGCCTTGGGCAAACTAGGTAAGTGTTCCACTACTGAGCTATATCCCCAGCCATCTTGCTTTTTGAGACAAGATCTCTCCCTGCTTAGAGTTCACCAAGTAGCAGAGTCTATCTGCAAGTCCTAGGTCTGCAAGTCCTAGGGATCCACCTATTTCCACTTCCCCAGCACTGGAATTACAGATGTGTAATGCCCAGCTTTTTAAATGTGAATTATGGGTTTGAACTCAGGTCCTCACCTTGCAAGGAAAGCACAAGCACTTTATGTATTAAGCTATATATTTTTTAATAATTTATTTAGTATAAGCACTGATATTTTGCCTTCATGCATGTCTGAGTGAGGATGTCAGGTCCCCTAGAACTGAAGTTACAGTTGTGAGCTGCCATGCAGGTACTGGGAATTGAACCCAGGTCCTCTAGAAGAGCAGCCAGTGCTCTTAACCACTGACCCGTCTCTCCAGCCCCACATGATACATTTTTTTTTTGTTTTTTTGTTTGTTTGTTTGGTTGGTTGGTTGGTTGGTTGGTTTTGGTGGTTTTGTTTTGTTTTGTTGTGTTTTATTTTGTTTGAAATAGGGTTTCTCTGTGTAGCCCTGGCTGAGTCAGAGTTTCTCTGTGTAGCTTTGTAGACCAGGCTGGCCTCGTACTCACAGAAATCTGCCTGCCTCTGCCTTACAATTGCTGGGATTAAAGGCGGTTTTTAAAAACTAGAAGAAACTGTTTTGAAAGTTTTTACAATAAGGAAATGATCAATGGCTAAGGAGATATCTATGCTTAATCTAATTTAAATATTACACAGTACACAATATATTGAAACAGTACATGGCATATGGATTTTGTTAGGACAGTATTTCACTATGTAATTCTGGCTGAGCTAGAACTCACTATGTGAACCAAGCTGGTCTTGAACTCACAGAGATCCTCCTGCCTGCCTCTGCTTTCTGAGTCCTGGGTTTAGAGGTGTATACCACCATACCTGGCTGGTTTTTGTTTTTTAGCTGGGAGGCAGAGGCAGGCGTATCTCTGAGTTCAAGGCCAATCTGATCTATACAGCAAATCCCTGGCTATCCAGGGCTGCGTATGAGATGGGGGGAGGTGGGGACACCCATTAAACCATGCGCTTTAGGTGGGTGAGTTACATGAATTACATTAAGAGAGGTCTTCTTAAAACCCCATTAGAAAATAAAGGGTATAGTGGCACTCTTAGCAGTTAGGAGGCTGAAGTAGGAGAATTGACATGAGTTTGAGGCTAGCCTGGGCTATAATTGCAAGACCATGTCTTTTAAATCCAAAAAATAGGCCGGGCAGTGGTGGCGCACAGCCTTTAATCCCAGCACTCAAGAGGCAGAGGCAGGCGGATCTCTGTGAGTTCAAGGCCAGCCTGGTCTACAAAGTTACACAGAGAAACCCTGTCTCAAAAAAAAATCCAATAAATAAATAAAGCCCACAGTGGGTTCTCATCCCCCAGAAGGGAGACTCCCTGTGACACTTAGTCCCTATAACCACAGAACACATTTATGCTGGGCGGGGCTCTGTTCTTAAGTACTTTGTGAGGACTCACCCTAGCCTCTCCCGGCTCTCTAATGTAGCCATTATACTTCTGCCCACTTTGCAGTTGGGCAAACTGATGGCAGGTTGAGTAACTTGCCAAGATGACTTAATTCCCTCATGTTTGTGTCTATGTGGGACCTTGTTGCAGTGTGTCATCAGGGCCTGTTTAGAAGCTTCTCTGTCTGGAGTGCAGCCCCAGGGACTAGGTCCTAGTATATGGTTTAGAGTCCTATAGCCCTTCCTCCTGGCACATCAGACCCAACTCAAATACAGAAAAAGAGAGAGTGCCAGAGATAGGTCCAGTGGGTCTTCAACCCAGCTTCTTTTGGGCAAGGACAATTCATTCTGGCACCAATTCCCAGAAGACAATTCTAGAATCTGTTTTCTCCTGAGCTCTTATGTGATGTCCCTCCTGTCTTCCTTCCTGGGGCCTTTCTCTGTAACCAAGAAGTTGGCTCTGCCCAGAGCCATTAGCCCCTCCCTGGAGCCTGGCATGGCCCCGAGTGCAGCAGCAGCACGAGGTTTATACGGGCCCTGCCCAGGACCCCGCCTAGCCCTGTCCCCATGGCCTGTCAGGTGGCCCTGGATCATATGGGAACTAATGGAGGTGTTTGAAGAAGAGCGGGAGGAGTGACCCGACTCCTCGTGGCTTGATAATCACCCCAAAGTATCACCCCCAAAGGGGGCAGTGTAACCCCACCCAGGTCTCTGCTCCAATTGGCCTGTTTTCTCCCCCTGCCCTAACCTCAGTCTGAAAGTCTCTGTACTTTCCAGCCCTATCCATCACACACATTCTCTGTGATATATTCTGAAAGTAGCCGCCCTACCCAATGACTTGACTTGAGGACAATCTAAGACAAAATATTCAGAGTCCTGCAGAAGTGACGACTAGTTCACATTTCCCTCCTTGGCAAGGCTGACCATGTCCTCTGACTTGTGCCCAGATGTCCAGCAAAAGCCAGATGGTGAAATTCTGAAAATCAGAACCTCAAGAACTCCATTGTACCCCAACTTCCAGCACCCTGACAACTCCTTCCCTCCCGATGGGTCCCAAGGGAAGCCATGCCCCAGCAGCTCCCAGTGCAGCAAAGCCACTGTGGCTTGGAAACAGAGGCTGGTATAATACCCTGGTGGCCCCAGAGGCTTGCCTCTCTTTGGGGCATTCAGAACTCTTGGCCTTCTACTGGCTGTATTCTGTTGTTGATACAGAACTCCACTCAGACAGCCCCACACACATTAAAAAAAAAAAAAGGCAATCAAGACCCCCCCTCCAAGTTGGCTGTCACTGCTGCAGAATCTCACTCACTCCAGTTATACCCCTGAATCCTTCTGCCAGAAGGGTCCAGAAGTCTACCAGTGATATCTGGAGGCAGACATGAATAAAAAGCAAACAGAACTGAGTCTTGGGTCCCTCTAAAAGGGAAGTCAGGAGATAAGAAAGGGTTTCCTGCCAACACTCCAACACCCGACTCTTCTCTGCACATTAGGTCCCTTCCCTGAGGACATGCCCACCACGCTGGGGTGCCCAAACCCAGTCCCTGAACAAAGCACAGGACTTACCATGATAGAAAAGATGAGGGGAATGAGGTTGAGGGGCCACACAGGGCAGAAACAAGAGGCAATGGCAAGGATCAAGTAATCTTTGGGAGCTTCTTGGTCCTGGGCATAGGAGGTGGTGGCAACAGAGGATGCTCGCCGAGAGCTGGCCCTGGAAGGGGAGCCAGGGAGAGAGTGCTGGCGGTGGCCTTCAGAGATGACCTTGAAGGGAAGGCTGTGGCCATTCTGCTCCAGGTCCAGAGCCCCTGACAGAGACTTGGACAGGCCCAAGGCTTTGTCATCCTTGTTCTCCACTTTGGTGAGAAGCTTCTCCATCTCAGGCAGCTCCAAGGGCGAGGTGGAGCCTGGGTCTTGAAACTGGGGCTGCACTGGGTTGGCCATGTTGTCTTGGGCCTTGGGTTTCTTCAGATCCAGGTAGGGACAGCGTGCTCCAGAGGGTCTTCAGCACACCATTCCCCAGCCTCAGACTTCAAACCTCCAGGACACAGGGATGTGTTTTTCAGGGGCTGGGGACCGCTGGGTACTAGAAGACTCAAAAGAGTGTCTCAAGGCTAGCAGAGGTCACAGCTGGAATCTGTGGTGGCTGCTGCTGCTGCTGCTGCTGCTACTGCTGCTCTCACTACTGTGAAGCTCCCAGGAAGCTGGAGGCTTCAGCTCTGTTCAAGTTTGAGGCCAACTTTGCTGGAGCTGCTGACTGCACAGATGGGCGGGGAAGCAGGAGCAAGTCAGGAAAGCTACAAGAGGAGGAATGTTCCTCTTCTCTCTCTCGTGAGTGAGACTGAGGCTGAGGCAGGGAAGCGTGTGTGTGTGTGTGTGTGTGTGTGTGTGTGTGTGTGTGTGTGGTGACACAGCCTCCCTCCCTTTCCACCCTCCTTTGGAGATACCTCCCTTTTTCAATTCCCTTCTCCCCAGAGAACTATCCCAGCAGCATCTTGCCTCTGGCCCGGCCCAGCCCAGCAGAGTCCACAGGGACTTGAGCTAACCTCTGCTTTCCTCCACAGTCCCAGACATGCTCCTCTGGGACATGGGCTTAGATAGTGAAAAAGACAGTGTCAGAAAAGCAAATGCCTCCTGCCCCTCCTCCACTAAGCAGGCTTGTGCTTCCCACTGTCTGTTGGCAATGGGGGAAGAGATGTGAGGGCTGTGTGGTCCCTGGAGGACCCAGTAGGGACCTAAGCTTAGATTTCTAAACAGTTTGCCAAGGGCTGATGAAGGGGCCTGTAGGGTAAATGCCTGTCTCATGTCTTCCATGGCTTATGGTGCTCAGCTGTACACAGAGACCCTCTTGGGATTTCTCTAACAGACGCCAGCTCTGAAAGGGCCAGAGGCTCTCTGCCTGTCTTTCTTCCTCTGTCTCTCCCTCCTTGATTCCCTTCATCTTCTTCTTTCTCTTCCTTGTCTACTTGTTTTGTTTCGCCAGAGTAACCTAAAGCCAAGGGTACACAGAGGAAGTATAACTTGGATGGGGCATATGAAATCATTAAAATTCCAGGGTCATGCATGACATGGGAAACCAGAGCTGGAAAGACCGCAGAGATCATGGAGTTCAAATCTGTTGCTTTGCTTTTATAATTCAGAAATAGAGGCCCAGGTGGGAAGAAACACTCATTTCAGTGTCTTCTCAGTCAGATGGCAATCCTTGGCCTATGTCCTGGGGCTGGCCATGGGGTGGGAGACGGGCAGAGGGCGGCTTTGGCGGGTTTCAAGTTTATTTCAGAAATACCACTCCTAGCAAAGTTAGAAGAGGAGTTTGACTTCACAGAGGGCTGGCTGCAGGAAGGGAGGGAGGGAGGGATGCCAATCCCAAGGAGGAGTCACATGTAGGACTGCCTGAAGGGGGCCCTGGGGCTGAAAGCACACCTGGGAACTAGTAAGTTTAGAAAATGTTTGAGGAGGTCAGGTGAATTTTCATGTTTGATAAATTAAACTATATTAATTTTTTTTTATTCAAGGGCACCCACATACATGCCAGATAGGAATGGCCGCCTACCTGTACTCCCAGCCCTCAGAGGCAGAACCAGGAGTCCCTAGCTTGTGAATTAGTGAGCTCCTGGTTCAGAAAGAGGTTCTGACTTAATACAGAAGGGAGAGAGTAATTGAAGAAAGCACCTACTGCCAACCTCTGGCCTCTGCAACATGTGCGAAACATGCATGTGCACCAACACACGTGGCCACCCCCCACACACACATACTCATACTATTCCTCCACACACACTTTTATTCACTAAGGGAAAACCATTGTTATTTGCAAAAGGCAGCCCTCTAGGGAGACACTTTCTCCATCTCAGACCTCAGAGTGGCTCTTTCTGTCCTAAGCCAGGAGGATGGCTAGGGAAGAAAATTGGGTGCGCGGCCCTGCCTGGGGGTTTCAGCAAATAAGCTAATGCTTTTCAAATAGAAAAAGCCTTCCAAGGCAAGGAAACTAGGTCCCTGACAGCGACAGGGCTCTCATCAGTACCCAGGTCCACAGTGTCAGGCTACAATGTGGGAGCTGTCCCTTGGCTGAAGGAACCCAGGCCCTGCCCAATCTGAGCAGCGCTTTTAGCCCACTGTGGCTCCAAGCACTTGGAATGTGACTAGTCAAAATGAAAATGTGCTGGGGGGAAAATTATTTTAAGTAAACAGATACTATAGGGAACCAGACATAAAGAGACCTTTTTTCCTTAATAAAAGGTACAATGTGGGGGGAGCAAGATGCCCCCCCCCCGAGAGTGGTCTTGGGCAGTAGTAAGAAAGGGGCCTGAATGGGCTGGAATTGGAGGACCACCAAGACAGGTTGACCAGTGTAAAATATTGGGTCTGCAGTGCCATCTAGTGGGTGACAGTGATAGGAGAATGACCAGATTGGGTGTAGGAATCTCAGAAGGCGGGGCTGAGCAGAAAAGTATTCTCAGATGAATCCAGCCTGGCCAGTGGTACATTATGTAGTAGTCCCAGATAGAGTCCTATCCATGTTGTACACGAAGGCTCACGGATTCTATCCATTCTAAGGTGAACTAGGCAGTACTCTCCTCTCTCTCTCTCTCTCTCTCTGTGTGTGTTTGTGTGTGTGTGTGTGTGTGTGTGTGTGTGTTTGAGACAGTCGTTCACTGAACCTGGAGATTGCTGGCTGAACAGCAAACCCTGGGATTTCTCTGTTTCTGCCTCCCAGTGCTGGGATGATTGACAGGTGTGTGCACCTGGTTTACGTGGGTACTAGGTGTTGAGTTCAAGTCCCCTAGTATTCACTAAGGCATCTCCCCTGTTTCAAACACATGGTGGGTTTTTTTCCCCTACCCCCATCCCAATTGCCCTTTCTTCTTAAAAAAATATTCTTATGGGGCTGGAGAGATTATTTAGCAGTTAAGAGCACTGGCTGTTCTTCTAGGGAATCCTGGTTCAATTCCCAGAACCCACATGGCATCTCACAACTCCAGTTACAGGGGATCTGACACCCTCACGAAGACATATGCACAGGTGAAACACCAGTGCACATAAAATAAAAATAGATGAATGATTCTTATCACAGTTATTTATTTTGTTGGGGTGGGGTGCATGTATCTGCTGCAGCAAACGTGAAAGTTGGAGAACTTGAAGGAGTTGGTCCTCTTCTTCCACTGTGGAGGCTCCAGAAGTCAAACTTAGGTTGTTGGGTTTGGCAGCATGTGACTTTACATACTGAGCCGTCTCCCCAGCCCTTAACAAAATTTTTGTTTAAACTTATTCTATGTAAAAACTGGGGTTTCAAATTTTAATATAAAGATATTGGAACCTGAAGAGCTTTGAACTCTGACCAACTAACTCCTTGTTCACACAGCCCAGCCTGCCTGGGGATGGGAGTGCTGAGCGCTGCCCCAGCTGGATGAGTAGACTACAGAGCCCTCCTGAGTTGAGAAGATGCTAAAAGTGATGCAGCTTCTGTGTTCTCTACCATTAAGCTGGGCAGTGGTGGCACACACTTTTAGTCCCAGCACTTGGAGACAGAAGTGGTCCCCCAATTCCAGCCCATCCAGGCCCCTTTCCTGCTTCTGACCAAGACCACTCTGGGGGCATCTTGTTAGCCTCTGACAGGCTTAGTGGCAGGGTCCTGTGAGCTCAGCACTTCCAAGACTGAGGTAGGGGGATGGCCTCAGTTTCTGGCCACCTTAGCCTATGCAAGCAGGTACTGTCTCAAACACCACACCACACACACACACACACACACACACACACACACACACACACACAGAGAGAGAGAGAGAGAGAGAGAGAGAGAGAGAGAGAGAGAGAACTGGGTATGGCAGGGTATGGCAGTGCATACTTGTACATGGTGGCTCACAGCCATTTGTAACTTTAGTTCTAGGGGATCTTCTGACCTCTGTGAGCACCAGGCATGTACATGGTGCACATGCATGCATGCAGGCAAAACACACAAAGACTAAAATGAATGAATTACAAATGACAACAACAAAATAGTAAGGGGGCTGGAGAGCATGTGTGGCTCTTGCAGAGGACCAGAATTTAGTTCCCAGCACCCACATTAGGTGACTCACAACACTCAACTCCAGCTCCAGGGGATCTAGAATCCTCTTCTGGATTCTGAGAACACCTGCATTCATGCTCACATACCACCCCATACGCACACATAATTAGAACTAACACAAATAAAACTTTTAACAAATTCAGGCAAACTTTTAAAAGTACCAATACTACTGCTACTACTACTGATAATATAAAAATGATATAAAAATCTCTTGGGAGACTCTTTGAGAGATGTTTTTATTAATCTTGCATGGATAAAGAATTTCTTCCTGCATATCAGTGTTTTCTATCCTTTGGCCATAGCAGCGCTGTTGTAATGTGCTTTCCCTTTCGGACACTTTGCTTTTAATATGCATTTTAAGTCATGCCATTGTACGCTCCTCTCTCTCTCTCTCTCTGCTATGTTTGAACAAACCCATCTAGTCTTAGTTGAAAAGCTCCATCTCTTTAATAGTCTCAAATCTATCTTCCTTTTACAGGATCCATCTAGGAGAATGTATATAATCTTGGGAAGTAATTTTTTTTTCAAAATTCATGCAAGGATTGTAGAAACTCTTTGTAGAAAAATTGCATAGGTACATATTTGAGGCCCTTACAGCTTAGGAGCCCCCTAGAGCATCAGGGAGAGGAGGCAGCTCCTGTTGGGTTGGTAAATACATGCTAACACACATATCCATTCAGCCATACATCTACATAAGTACGTATATAATACATATGTGCCAAAAGATTTCATGATAGGCAAATCCATATAAGCATACCAGCACTCAAACACAGAGTCCTGGGGAAGCAATAAAGGGAACAATGCTGCAGATCCTGTGGCTTCTAAACACCTTTCTGTCTGGTCTCTGAAGGCAACCTTGTGAGCAGATGGATTGAATAGCTTCCGTGAGTGCTTACAGAGGAGCTAAGTGCTCTGCCGAGTGCATTAACCATGAGTCTCATTTGCTCTGTACAGCAGCTTGTGATATAACAACTGCCTGTAGCCCATTACACAAGGAGGTTACATGATTTGCTCAACATCATTCATCTGCTCAGCTAGAAGATCTCTGATTCAACCCTCTTATGTGCTATCGCTGTCGGGGAAGAATGTGATTGGGTGAGAAAAATCTTACTGTCTTAGAATTTAGGAAACTAGGATTTGCTAGTTGTTTATCTTATTTCCATTGAAAATGTCCCTGTAGGTAAAACAAGGGTAAAGCCTTGTCTGCGCTACCCAAACATAAAATTGTAGTACTGAACAGCTTTACAAACAACTGCTAGGAACCACCTCAACCTCCCTGAGGTGGCATTACTATCCACATCTAAGGTGAAGTGGAGGGGAGGTTGATCGCAGGCAGGCCCAGGTTCGTTCCTTTCCAGTGTCCATACGTTAAGTTAAGGACAGGACTGAAACTGAGTCTCACGCTTCACTCTTATCCAGACCTTCTCGCGGACTGTTTCACAACCTTGACTGAGAACAGGAGCCATAAGGCTATGTGGGAGACAGGACCTCACAGAAAGCAGATAGCTTCGATTGTGGCCTCGAACTGTGCAGAGGCCGTGTCTGTGGGCATCTGACCTGCCTCCATTCAGAGGTAGCAACAGCACAGCAAACAGAGTCTGCAGCATTAGCACCCCGCGCAGGTCCACAGATCTAGGGAGAGGGGTTCCTGAGCCTTCCTTGGCCTTGGAGTAAGACCACTCTTCCCTAGCCCACTCCTCAAAATCTCTCCTGGATTCCTAATCTGTCTCACTACAGAAGCCCTGGTGCTCTATTGGCTGAGAGCTCTGCCTATCACTCTGGGCCCTGGACCCCCGACCCTGCCCTTTACCCAACCACTCTTCTCAGTGCAGCCTAGATTGAGGCTCTCTGCAGACAGCAGTCCTGCAGGGAGACTCACAGGTAGGGCTGACAATGACCTTAGCCTCTGATGCCCCATTAACTTTCTCCGGCACAGCCAGGAATTTCCCCGGGACTGATCTCACTGTGCCCAGCCATTCCCGGGGTCTCACTATAAACCAGTGTGTGGGTGACTATCTGGGGGCTGTAGTCCCTACCCACCCTTGCAAAGTCCCGGGTTCCGAGGCTTTCCTGTCTCACTGAACTCAGTGGAGTCCTGTAGTGGATGAACAAGACACTTTCTTTTTATTTGGTCATTTTCTGGGCCTCTCAGATCAGCAGCAGGCCAAACATGGTAAGAGGGCCACACCGTTTGCCCACAGATCACAGCAGCTGTCTACCCACAAACCCACACAAGTCCCACTGTCCAAATGCAGCAAGAGCAAAGAGGGCTCCGAGGCACAGGAAAGCAAAGGCCACTTTCCAGGAAGAAACGGTTGACCAAGTCCAAACCTAAGGTCTCACTCCTTCAGCAACTCAGGCAGGGATGTGGAGAGGCTGCCCTGGCTGCAGAGTTTCTTCCCGCTGGTAAGGCGGCCTCCTCTGTCACTCAAGTCACAGCTCATTCAGTTTTGCTCTGTCCAGGATGGCTTTTGCAGTCTTCTCTTTGGCAGTCGTCATTCCGCCAACCTGGTTTCCCTCTCGGTGGCCCAGTCAGGAGTGCTGGTAGCCCAGCCCGGAGCCCCACCGCCACGGAATCGGTCCAACAGGGGCAGCCCCGGGACATCGGCGCCAGCTTACCCCGGAGGCCTGGGCTAAACTGGGCCCTTCGGCCATCACCCTGGGCCGCCCCACCAAGTGCGCGTGCGGGGAGCACGAGGCGCAGCGCGGTGCAGGCGGCACTAAAGAGCTGGTGATGTCCCTGCGCCCCAGGCCAGGTACCGCAGGCGGCGGCGCGGACCGAGGAACACTGAAGCCAGAGTCCCCAGCACCTGAGCCGCGAGCAGCCTGGCCGTGACACTCCAGGTGGCTGCAGGGCCAGCGGGGCGCCGGGGTGGCGCGCAGGACTAGGGAGAGTGCAGTGATGCGGTGGATGGCCCTGCGCAGAGTGGCGATCTTGGAGAGCCTCTTGCCACCCAGGTCGTGCTGCAGCGCTCTGCGCAGCGCGTTAAAAGCCTCATTGTAATCCAGGATGCGCTTGCGCTCCCGCACATTGGCCGCCATACGCCGCGCCTTGGACCTTACGGGCCGCTCGCGCTTTCTGCCCGCTGCCTCCTCTGCCTCGTCCAGGCTGCGCCTCAGCACTCCAAAATTCCTGCCAGCCTCGGGGCAAGAGCGCCCCAAGTCCTCCACAGAACCCTCACTCCACTTAAGGTCCCTGAGGCCTAATCCTGGCGTGCCTCGGAGCATGGCCTATGCCCTGGACTTGCAGCTTCAGCCTCGGCTCCAAAGAGCTGCTGGTCCACTCTGCTGTTGCGGCTTACTGGCTGGATACACTCTGGACAGGCCCTCTCTAGCTGGGCTTTATGGCACCACGTGGCTTCCCGCCCTCCCTGTCCATCCATCTCCCTCCTCCTGCTTTATTACCTGCCCCCAGGTAAGATGGTGAGGGAGGAACTGAAAGGAAGGAAGCAAGCGAGGAAGGAAGCGTGCAGATTCTTGTACACAGGACCAGCTGGGTAGCCTGGCCACGCCCTGGGCAGTGCTCCGGTTGTCACAGGGAACATGCCTGTTCTGCTCAGGGACCCTCCAGTATGACTGGGTTCTGCTTCTGACCCCAGATAAAATGCCATATGTAATTATGGGCAAGAGAGCACATAGGCTTACAGAAGGATAGCAATGGTGGATTGAGTGAGTTTTAAGAACCTTGAGTAATGGTGAGTAAGGGCACATGCTGCCAAACATTACCACCTGAGCTCAATCTGTGAACAAGCAGGGTTGACACTGAGATGAAGCATGGCCAGCCCAGAAGAATCCAGAGAGGAGGCGCAGATCCGATGCAGCTAGCCCCGCAGGGCCCTGCAAGTAGGCCAGAACTCCTCCATGAGGCCGGTCTGGATTCTGGATTGGGGTTTGGGTTGAGCCCAGCATTTCCGCCCCCCTCTTTGTGCTCCCCCTTCTGCAAGGCAGAGCTGGGCTGAGTCAGAAGCAAAGAGTGAGAAAGATTTTTCTTTCTGGCTTGTCTTGCATACCCATCAGGGAACAACCCTTAAAGGGCAGGGCTTTTGAGCAGCTCTACCAAATCATGACACAGTATGATCAGGTTATAAATGCAGTGGACAATCCCAATGGCCATCACCAAGGACTGGAATTTTAAACAAGATTTAAGAAGAGAGGGAGGAAGAAAAGAATAATGCTTACTCCCAGGACAGATTCCCAATGGAATTTCAGATGTGCATTCATGACTTATTTAGCAGGAGCAACATATTAACATTAATCTCATTCCCAGCCACATTCCCAATGTTCTGGCACCAGCCAGGACGGGCGCACGGTTCACATCCATATTACAAATGACTTCATTATTTCAAGATGAGTTTTCCCACAGAGGGAAAGAATAGGCCACTGGGAAACAAACTGCATGTGTTAACTTATGATTGTCTGTTTTGTTCACTTGACTGAAAGTTACCTACAAACTGTATTTCTCTAAGATGTCCAATATATGTTATATGGAATAGAAAGCAGCTAAGCCAGGCGATGGTGGCGCATACCTTTGGTCCCAGCACTTGGGAGGCAGAGGCACTTGAGTTTGAGGCCAGCCTGGTCTATAGAGCTAGTTCCAGGACAGGCTCCAAAGCTACAAAGAAACCCTGTCTCAAAAAACAAAAAACAAAACAAAACAAAAACAAACAAAAAACAAAAAAGAAAGAAAGCAGCTAAACCCAGTATGTTGGCATATACCTATAATCCCAGAACTTGGTAAGTAGATCAGGAGTTGGATGCCAGCCTCAGTTGCATAGTAGTTTGATGCCAGCCTGGGCTACATGAGATCTTGCCTCCAGAACAAAACTAAAAAGTGGCTAGAAGCTAGGTGTAGTAGTGCATCCCTGTCATCTCCGCACTCAGACAGAAGCTGAATCAAAATCACCAGTTTGAGGCCAGTCTGGACTGCTTATAGAGATCTTATTTTAGAAGAGGCAGGGGAGGGCTGGGAGTTTAGCTCAGTGGTAGAGTGTCTATGCATAAAGCCCTGATTCAAAGCCTAGTGCTACAAAACAAAAACAAGCAAATAAAACACAGGCTACAACCCGATATTCCCAGTGTCTGAGCATTACTGCCCTCCATCATGCTCAAACAACAGGGTACCGGTCCAGATGGATCTCAGAACATAAGACAGGCAGGCATCGGCCTCCTGAGTGTGTCACAGTTCATGGGTACTCTTATCATGTCTTGTAGCCTGTCGAAGCCATGCTAGAGACTGCGAGTCATGGCCCTGTTCATCCAGGCAGACTCTGGGACCCAGCCACTGAGAAAAGCCTGACTCTAGGGTGGGGAGCACAGGACAGGGTGGCACCCCTGAACAGTTGGGTACCAAAGGAAGCTTGGTGGTGATGGGGTTCTTCCTCCCATCCACTCCAGCAGGTGGCCTTACTGTGCAAATCTGTGCCCATCATTTCATCTGCTCACCTCAGTCCCTTTTGTTTTATGTAGAGTTTAGCCAGGGTGCTGGTGAGATGGCACAGTCAGTAGTATCTGTTGTACAAACAGAAAGACCTGTTCAGATACTCAGCACCCACATCAAAACTGGCATAGCATCTGTAATCCCAGAGCTGGTTAGATAGAGACAGGTGGACCCCAGGAGCTCAATGACAAGCCAGCCTCATGACACTGATGAACTCAGGTTCAGTGAGAGAGTATATCTCAAAAATACAAGGTAGAGAATGGGGGGGGGGGCGGAGACACTTGGTTAAGTTGGGATTGATGGAGGTGATGTGGAAATAAAAGCAGACAGGCATCCCCAGAAACAGAGTTATTCTACTCAGAACAACTAAAAGGCCACACTCCTCTGGAGTGGCGACTGTTCGCACAAAGGCACGGGGAGTTTGGGGCTTTTGTAGGGTGGAAAAGGGTTGGATGGAAGATTTCCTCTGCAGGTCAGTTCCCCTGCAGTCTCAAAGTGGTAGACATCTGAAACACTCGCTCACCTTTCATCCCAACAGGAACAGGAGGGTCTCTGTGCGTTTGAGACTACAGGACAGCCAGGGCTACACAGAGGAACCCCGTCTCAAACAAACAAACAAACAAACAAAAATAATAAAATAAAAAATAAAGGGGGGGATGTAAACACAACTGAAATTGATTTGTGACTCCTCCAATCCCAACAGCCCACAGGTGTCATCAGTCAAATCAACCGTCCCATCCAGAGCTTTTCAATCCACCTGGGCTTTTAGATCATTAACAATCATACCTGAGCCAACCTCTAACCTCCACTTGTATGCACATACAAGTGCACACACTCTTGCCTGCAAACACACACACACACACACACACACACACACACACACACACACTACCTGCAGGCACAACAGAGAAAAGGAGAGACAGACAGACAAAAGGAGTGTAGTAGGACTATGTGACCTACCAGCCAACTATAAAGCCAAATAAAAATTTGGAGCCCTTGTTCAAAGTTACTAAGAATTTGAAGATGGAGACAGACAGCATTTAAGCAAACCCTGGTGTTTGGAAGCACTGCATAGTTCCCAGACCCATGAAGGTAGGAAAGAGCTCAAGCATTGGGCAGATGCTCATCTGGATACTTGACAAGACATTCACTACAGGCAAAGGTGGACAAGCCCTTCACACCACCATGGACGGAAGTGTCCTCCTCCCTCCATCTACAGAGAGCTTCCCGGAAGCAAAGGGGTAGGTGCCAGTGAGTGATAAATAAGCTTAAATTACTTCTGACGCCTTCTTTCCTCCAGTGACTCAGTTGTTTTAGAACTCATACTCCACTATGGACACTATACAGCTTAGTAATAATTAATCATAAAAATAATAACTCTAATAGTACTGATACTGACTTCTGCGAAGTGTTTACTGTAGCCGAGGCATCGGACTAAGTGCTTTTAAGCATACATTATCTTGGCCTCCCAGCAATCCTATATGGAAGGCCTATTATTATAATACCTATTTTACAGACTGTAAACTGAGACTCAGAGAGACAAGGAACTCAGGCCAAGCCAGGGAGCTGACCTGTAGTGTGGCTCCTATTCCAACACTAACATCTTAACCCTTCTGGTCTGGGCCTGTGTTCTCAGATCTTGATTACTTGCCCCAGTACCCAAAGCCCCCACAAACCACCTGTAGCCATTAGAAGTTTATTTGTGTTTTGACGTAAAAGCTGTCAAAGAACTAGGATTGGAACTTGGTGGCCAAACACTTGCTTATCATGAGCATGGGCCATGGATTCCATCCCACACCAGCACTGCTGGAGTGACAGCATATACCTGCAAATCTCAGCATAAGAGAGGCCAAGACAGGAAGATGGAGAGTTCAAGGCCAGTCTGGGCTATAAAGTGAGACCCTGTCTCAATTTATTATTTTAAGGATTTATTATTTAAGTGTATGTGTGTGTACATGATACAGATGCCCTTGGCCAGAGGCAGCAGATACCTCTGGAGCTGGAATTACAGGTGGTTGTGAGCTGTTATCTTGTTTGAATTTTAAAACTAATTTTAAAAAATTCTTTTCAACCAAATGTGAAAAATGAAAATCTGTTGGATGGTATCAAGGAAATCTGGGAGGTCAGGGTCAGAGGAAATGGAGACATGAGCAATCAGAGCGGCTGATGACCTCATAACCAATCTGACCAACCTGATGTAACAGATGGCCCATGAAAACCCAGGGGCAGCAGCAGAAAAGTAGAGGTGCAAGCCTGTGTCCAAAGCCTGCTCCAGCAGGTTAGCCCAAAGTAGCCTGCAGGGACTCAGGATCAGCCTATAGCTCTGAGTCTATAGCCATGCAGGTGTCTTTGTTGGGGTACTTTTCCACTGAGTCCCCATGGTGGCATGCAGAATACCAGCCTCCATAGTTGAACATTTCCTACTCAGTGCAGCAATCCCTGAGCCTTCTCTGCAAGAGGTTCCCTTTGGTCTCCTGGACTCTGTCTGAGAGTTGAGCACTCCTGCATTCATGCTGGGGCCTCCTTTAAGCCCCCTTACAGCCTCAGCTCTAGCACAGAACATTGCAGCTCCAAGGAAGTTAATAAACAATGCAATCCCTGATATTAAGATAATCATGACAGACAGTTGTGGTGGCTCACACCTGCGATCCCGGTACTGGGAAGGTGGATGCAGAAGGACTGTGAATTTGACAGTCTTTGCTGGGCAAGGTTTTGTCTCATAATAATCAACATTATATTAGAAACTCCAACATGGGGCTGGTCAAGCAAGCATTTAATTCATAGCCAGTGAATACATACTGAGCATCTACCAAGAATGAGAAGTGTATGCACAGACACTCATAAACTAATGTATTAGCACATTTCTGTGAGGCTCAGTGTTTACATAGAAGGGAGACAACCCTGCAAACCACCCCCACCCCATTACCTAGAGTCGGGGAGGGGTGGATGTGACAGTTGTCTTGGAGCTGTGGTTCTCAAATGTGAT